CAGTCTTCAGTGTCACATGATCCTTCAGAAATCATTTTTAATATGCCGATTTTGTGCTTAAGAAACATTTCTTCTTCTTCTTATTATTATTATTATTATTATGTTGCAAACAGTTGGGCTACTTAATATTTGTGTGGGATTCTTTGCTAAATAGAAAAATCAGCACAGAACAGCATTTAAGTATTGTTTTTCTGTGGGTTATATGGTTACATCAGTAGGTGGTGTCAAGTGAATTTATGAGTTAATCTATTGAATAATTTATTCAGTCAGTTTGTTAAAAAAAACACTGATTTATTTAGGAACAAACAAGTGACTTCCTATTTGAGTGAGTCATTTCATTATTTATTCAACTGATTTGTTATATTTTTTAAAATAGACTGAAGCAAAAAAAAAAAAAGAAGAAATAAAGAAAATCATTCAGAACCTCTAGTAAATTGCATGTTATTTTATTTAGTAGCCTAATGTTCAGGTTAGAATTATGACAATCATCATGAGAAAAAAAAAGTGACTCTCTATATATCCACAATTGTGCGGCTCTAGTTCAGAGCTATAAACAATAGTATCCATTTTTATACATGAGAGGCTGACAGGTTTGAGCACAGACTAAATAAGAGACCATATTGAGATGTTAACCAGTACTGACTCTCACTCATTTGTCATGATGAGATGATGTAGCCTACTGGACTTACACAGAAATATGACAAAGCTACGCTGCCTCACACGGCTCAGCCTTAAAAGCTCTTATTGGATGGCACACAATTACTGCTTCCCTCTGTATGAGAAGACTAGAGAAAGTGGAAATCGAACTGTCAGATAATTTATGCAGGCCATTTCTGTTATGTAGCTGCAGCCAGGGAAAAAAAGGGCTTTTAATAGATGGGGGTCATCCCTGTGCGGGGAGCTGCTGTATACTGCACTTCACTGAAGACTCCTTCCCAACACAGCCTCTTTCAGTTGCCACAGGGAATTTTCATATTTCTTTCTTGGTTTCTTGCTTTCAAATTTGCTTTTCAGTATTTTCATGCATTGTCCAACTTGCTAAAAATTCTTTTTTAATGTAATTTATAAAACCAAGTTACTCATCAGTTGCTTAGTGACTTCATTAGGAATTGTGATATAATGCATGGTTTAAGATGAATTATAATTTGACCCTTGTAAATGTAAGTGATCTAAACCATTCAAATGAAACCATCTTTTAAAGAAAAAAATGTGTCTTTTTTTTCCTTGTTGGAAAATATGAGGTCTAGCTAATATTAGACAATGCAAATGCAAAATATTCCTCGCATTAAGCCACCAAAACGGAAAATATGAGTCATACTGCGACAGGTGCAGTTTTACCAACAGACAAAGTCTGTCATAATCACAAAAAGGTATATATTTTTAGTAAAAAATCAGAAAGAAATATTTAAATAAATGTCCACAATTCACTTGGCATCGGCAGGTGTGTCATAAAGTTTATTTTGGACCCTGACTTCAAATCATTCACAGTTTCTAATGCCCTTTTTTTGTTCCGTGCTTTTTCCCAGCAGTGTAGCACTAAAGCCTTTCCCAGGCTGCTGTGTGACAGCCAGATCAGAGCGAGCACTCCTGAGAACCCTTCTGTGTCAGGTAGGAAAAAACAGCAGGTCTCTTTAATTGAAAAGGGATCGAATCACCCAGTTAGCGGAGGATAGTCGAAGGACTGTGTATGTACTGACAAAAAGCAAGGATTGAAACACACGCAGCTATTGATCCTGATCACGTAATTTATTTCCCATGGTTAATAGACTTCACACACTCCCAAACCAGATGTGCAGCGAGAAGATAGATCAGCATAGATAGGGTCCTTGCTGTATTTATGGATACTTCTATTTCTAGGGGTTTATGTTTGTATGTTTCTTGGTTAGAGCATCTAGTGAAGCACAAATGCACTGAAGCGAGTTCCAGCACTGGAAGTGCTTCCAAAACCAGGGACAAAACCACAGTGGATATCAATCAATGCTCCCAAATGGAAATTTGTCAGCTTACATGCAAATGAACGTCCTGAGAAACTACTCAGAAAACAAAATTACTCATAAGACACACATAATTGATTTCACATTGATTAGTCTGAGTAAATATTGTGATATCCAAAATAATCAATCAGAAGATATACTTTTTATTAAGATAAATACTAATACATAACACACATTTACTAGTGTACAGTATAGTGAGTTGCACATAACTATACTAGAAGATACACTTTTCATCCCATTAATATGATAATTAATCTTTAAGAAATGCCAAGGAGTGGCATACTCTTTAACCGTATTTATCTACAACTAATCTGTGTAATATTTTGTGTAATGTCAGCAAACATGCTCCAGATATGTCTTCCAGATAGATGGAAAGCCTAAGGAAAGCTGACCAGCGCACCTGCTTTCTTGATTCAAATATATGCATATAAATTTGACTCATAAATCCACTAAATTAGATTGTGAGGCCCTGTGCAAACATAAAGCTTTCATGTTTAAAAGCTGGGGTGTTTTATCATTCAGTCTAGCCTATTTGTTGTTTTGAATTTTTTTGTTTGTTTTGAGAGGTGGGCAAGCAATCATGGTCAAATAAGAGCCTGTTATTTAACATTATCGCTATAAATAGTTCTTAACCTAGCATTAATCGTGGCACCTTAACATCAAATATGTTACTTCAACACTTCTTGAGAACATATTTCTCAGTGAATATCAATTTGAAGCTGCAAATGACAAACAACCAAGCCGTATTTATACAATAGCACAAGTGCTTTTCAGGTTATCAGATATTGTGAGCGGTCTGATTCACATCTGAAGATAAGAGCTGGTATAAAACACAGCATCTTGCCTATAGAGTCTCATTAGCTGCATCTCATACCAAGGTGGCACATCTTGTTGTTTGTCTCATTAGAAAAACCATTTAACACTGAGCCATTCGCTCTATCTGTTCTGGAGTTGTTATACTTCAGTAACAAGATCGTTCTGACTCATTCCTAACCAACAAAACAGAGCAAATGTCAGGTTTAGAGAGTAAATGTTTTCCGAACCAACAAGACCTGTGAAGTCTTTCCTATACCAGAGACCAAAGACCTAGTCTGATCTGTGTCGCATAATTGGATCATAACATCCACTGTGTTCTTCACATGCTTCATGTTAAGTAAAACACATTGTGACTGATCTAAATGACATAGAATGTGGTCTAGTTTAAATACTGCTGATGGATACAGTCCCCCCAGGCGCTTTTGGAAGGAGACACTAAATGGGAAAGATGGAAACGATAAAGCGGTGCCTGTAAATGCATAGTGCCATCTAGGGGTTTTTATGTATGAGAAATAAAAGGAACGATGCCTGAAAGACCCATTGTTCCAGCAAAACACTCATCTTGAAGAATAAATATGAAAAATGGTAAATTTCTAGACAAAATTCACATATAATCTCAAAGACAAAACCCATGGGATGCATACTTTACAAACAGGGAACACATCTGTAGGCTAACTGGCATTCAAACATTTCCTAGTTTTTTTTTTTTTTTCAATAAATATGCATTGCAAATGAAGTAATAGATCATAAGTGCTACAATATCAAGGAATACGTTTAAAAATGCATCTGTAATGAACAGGAAACTAAAACATAGTATAGAATGTTCTCATATGGTTCTCATAAGGAAAAAATGTTAACTGAACCTTTTGAAGAGAGTTTCTTCAACAAGAATCCTTTTTTGAAATATTGCTTAGCAACAGCCCACTGAATACTAAATTAAATCCTTGAAAAATAAGTGATCCACTTAATAAAGTCTTCATTTATTCATGATCATCTCATAAAGTTCTGTGCTGATTAAATCTAATGCAGTGATGGTCAAAAAAACTATAAAAGAGGTTTATCATGCATTGGAAATTTCTTCTTCTTACTCTTCTGACCGTTTCTAGCTCAACAGGCTACCCACATTAACAACAGCAAACATGTTTATGCATGTGTTATCAACTGTATGTGTTAACAACTATATGTTATCTAGCCTCATGATGCTTATAGACCACAAAAAATCCTACAAAATGAAATATTATGCCATAGTTTTACATGGATGTTTAATGGCATACATTTTGTCTGCATTAATGACTACTTAAAATCTAAAGATCAATTGGTGCTCTTTTAGCATTATTTATTTATTTGTTTATTTTCATGGAATAACTCTAAGAAAAAGCATTAGAGCATTAACAACCTTTGGGACGTAACTTTTTCCTGGTTATTTTAATAATAAATGGAATAACCACATTTGCATAACTTATAATAATGCAATTTATAACACTACTGTGTGCGACTGAAGCTGCCAATATAGGCCAAATTTGCACATCTGTGGTGACAAATCCATTCCATCCCACTTATGCAAAACAATTACCTGAAGCACTACAGGTGTTTTGAAAAATGCCATGGGTGTTTTAGCAGAAAATGGCATCTTTTAAAGGCCTATTATCCCAGGTGGCCTTTCGCCCCATTGTACCCAAACATAGAAAACAGTGTGTGAGAGAGGCTAAAAAATAATAAATAAATAAATAAATAAAGCGACACAACATACTAAAAGGCCATAAGTGAAAGGGTCATAACTTCAAAATCTTGGTCAAATTTGACAACAGAAATAAAAAAGAAAAAAAATTAAATTGTAATAAAAAAAAAAAGATATTTTTGATAATGTCAAAAATCTTGCTTCCTGTGCCAACAACGATAGAATGTATAGCATTTTCTTTGCCGAAAACGGAGGGAAATGACCCGAAGACAATAGCATGGTTAAGCAGCTTCTGATGATGAGAGCTCATTCTCATCTCCGTTACTGTGGAAACCAACTTCACATCCCTCTATACACGAATTCCTACCAATAGCCACACTAAAACTTCAGCATTCAAACTAATCATTCCAATTGCCAAACACAGATTTTGTTCAAAATACATCAAAACGAACCCCGTATAATCTAAACTATGCAATCACGTGTATTTATATCAAAAAGATGACATAACTTACAGCAGTTAGTTACAGCGAAACTGTTAGCTACTTCCAGATTGTCGATGTGAGGCGTCAGTCTAAATTCAGCCGTTCCGAACTGAACCATTCCGATCCGAAACGCGCTGTACTCCTGATCAGCTCCCCTCGGAAACAAGCCCCCTGCACGACACACACAAAATATATGTTAAACAATTATACAGTACACATGAATTAAAACGTTCATTTTATAAAAATGTCGCCCACACTAAACATACCAATTTGAACACTTGGGGAGCCTCCAATTGTCAACCCACATAAGAGGGAGATGAGGCCAATCGATAAATTCTTAAACTGTTGCATTTCCACGACAGTGTGTGTTCACCCACTGTATGAAGGAAATATTTGTCGTTTACACAGTGTTGAATCAAAACCGTAACATATTGAGGCGTTGCTGGGGAATGAGAGCGGCTGCTGTCTGCAGGTGGTTCCTCTATCGCGGACTCCTGCCTCAGTCCCGCTTCTGGAGGAATAATGCAGATTTCTCTCTCTCTCTCTCTCTCTCTCTCTCTCTCGCTCTCTCTCTCTCTCTCTCTCT